TGCAAAATCTCCAGATTCTTTGGGAATTGATAAGGCTGTATGTATTGTAGTACCGTTGATATTAGGGACCTTAAGCAGCTTCGTAGAGGACGAAAACAAGAACAAAATTATGACGTGGCATGCTCTAGGACACTGGGACGAGAACATCGTTTTCGGCGCGAAAATTGAAAGTTAAGCACCCGCATCTTGTACAAAGACGAAGACGTCAACAAGTGAGGCTCAACAAGTAGTGGTTTTAGTAATGTCGTCGTTTAAAGACATCAGGGATTTTGTTTTTGTTGGATATGCCCACGACACGTTTGATGACAAAGAATTCTGCCTTCTCTATGACTTTTATCAGTCGAAGAATCCGGATTTTCCTTACAACTCGTTTGCGCCGTTCGATTTGGGGGAAATGGATCCTGCTGAGTGTTATACCGAGTTTCAAGTCGAGAAATGGCACATTCCCTTGCTGGCAGACAGGCTACAGATTCCCCCAACATTCCAGTGCCCACAGCGTTCCGTTTGCGATGGCACAGAAGGGCTATGTATGCTACTGAACCAACTGGCTTACCCCTGTCGATACAGTGATATGGTGCACAGATTTGCAAGGCTAGTTCCGGTCTAAAGCATGATAACAAATACTGTTCTCGATTATGTCTATGACAAGCATGGCCACAGACTAACTCAGTGGAACAATCAAGTTATGGACCCCACCATTTGCAGCAATATGCAGACGTAATTTCAGCTAAAGGCTCTCCCTTGGACAACTGTTTTGGTTTTGTCAATGGCACAGTTCGGCCAATAAGTCGCCCAGGACAGCACCAGAGGGCTGTATACAATGGACACAAGAGAGTCCATGCATTAAAATTTCAATCTGTTGCTCTACCCAATGGGTTAATAGGAAACCTATATGACCCAATAGGTAATAATAATTATAATAATGTATGGAATTATTTATGCATGGTAGTCTCTTCAGTTTAAAATTGTTAGTTAAAAATAACCCTGAAAAATAAATAGAAAGATGAAGAAAATAAAAAAACTTAA